ACAACAAATGAATTTAGTTCTCCATTGTCATGGAGAAACTAGATGTACAATGGAATCAAAATGAAAGATAAACGCTAAAAACCGAAGAGGAGAGCTTCTGCATCCAATTCTGCCTCTAGAGAGTCGAACAAGTCTGAATTTGCGTCTCTTCTATCAAAAGATACCCCCTCTAGAACGTGCAAGTCCTTATATAAAGTTGAATTGGATCATGGGTGACCGTTGTCAGCGCTCAACGCCCCTACTTAGGGCGCCCAAGCGAGCTTATGAGAGAAATGGCGCTCAGCGCCCTAGGAGGGGCGTCCAGGCGTGAAGCGGTACTCGAAGTCTGGCGCTCGGTGCCCCTGAAAGGCACTCAGGCGTGGATGCGAGGCCTCTTGCGCTAAGGGCTCTAGAAAAGGACGGCTAGGCGCCCATGCGAGACATCCTACGCTGAGGGCCTCAGAAAGGGGCAACCAGGCGTCTTGCAACCTTTTGTAGCCTTCTTTTCTGATGTTTTTCTGTCCTTTCTGGATTCCAATTCCTTAGTACTTTAACTCCTCTTCTAAATCATTGCAACTTCCTACAAAATCAAAGGAATTTAGTGATAAAAATCATAAGTTTTAACCTCAACTCTCTTTATTCACAACTTAACTAGAAACAAGAGTTCAAGCAAGTTTCTAAGTCAAAAAGGGCTCATTTAGTATCAAAACTGAATCACAAATAATAGTGAAATCAACCGTTATCAACTATTCATTTTTTTAGTTTGTAAACATGAACTCTCTACAACTTCATTATTCGTAAAACTTATTAAGGTGTCAACTTTCAATGAAATGACTTTGGATTTGTGCAACAAAAAGAACTTCCAAAACTCCTATACACTAATTTTTCCTCTCACAATTTCACCATGGTATATTACTCCATTCAAACATTTCATCTTCACTAAGTAATCAACACCAGAATTTTGTTTATCTGAAAAAAAAATATACTATTATGCGAAGCTCCTTTCTATGCATTGAACCACTACAATTACAACAAAGATATTTTACTAATTTTAGTTTACATTACTTGCGAAACAACATAAAAATTGAAACATCTTATCGTATTTATTTTAGATCTTACATACTCCATGCTCCAATTTGCAGCCTATCTTCCTCTTCAATCCCAAAAGGGGGAGAACCACCATGGATGAAGCAGGAAACCCAAGGATAGCCCGATTGACATCATTATCTTAGAGAGAAGAATAATAAAGATGATCGACTCTTCAGAAAATGTAAATAGAAATGGTGAAAATGGCGTTGAGCCCCACCCTTTTATGTAGCCGAAATGGGCGCTTAGATGAACAAATTCTTGCTATTGAAACAAGCAGGATTCAATGATCTATAGCTCACGACCTTTCGTTTCAACAAGCACACGAATGCTAAAATGCCACGTTCCCACTCCCGTCGATTATAACCTCCCTCAACCGATGAGTTACACAAAAATCCCATTATCTCCAAAATGTGCAGACTTGTTATCAATTAAACCCCTTTGCATATCAAGATACGCTTGGGCTTGGGGGTCTGTGTACCGTATGACCATCCGCTCAACTCAAGATTGGATAGTTCCATTAGTCAAAAGCACCTAAGGAATCAGTCCGTGAGGAAGATGTACTGAGCGATCAACCTTAAGTGAGAATTAAGACTAAGGATGATTATATTAAACCTACAATCATTACCAGTTAGGTCGTGATTAGGCCAACATTAATCTGAAACCCATTCCCAAATCTATAAATATAAGTTTCGGGTATTGTGATAGGTTAGTTACGTTTAATAAGCATTTATTGATAAACTTTTGAATCTATGCTAACTTTGGCATCCAAGTACCCTCTACAGATAATCTCCAAGTTTGATCGAATAACGATGAATGTGAAGTAAAGGACGAATGATGCATTATGTAAGGAAGTTAGACCAATCAATTAAGGACAGTTGACTTCGACTCCATGATAAAAAAAAATTTCAACTATATTATGTAATAAATTTCATGTTCAATAAATTTCTCTTACAATAAAACTTTTTATTTAGTTTCATTAACATTTTACATTCAATCAAAATTTAATTCAATTAAATTGGATTTAATATTTATACTTGCTTATAATAATTTCTTTAATAAAAAGCAAACTAAATCAAGTAAGAAACAACCTAATTGAATGCATCATATTTTAATAAAGTTAAAGAGTTTAATAGTCATAAAATTTAGACCGTCATTCAATCCACTTGAGTAATAAATTTTGACTTAAATGGAGGCAAATTAATTTTAATTTGATATATTTATTCCGTAATTTAAATAAATTTAGGCTGTATTAATCCAGTTTAAGAAAATAAAATTATAAGAAATTTAAAATAATATATATATATATATATATATATATATATATATATATATATTAAACTCAGATTTCAACTACAAACTCAAAAATATAACTCGAATTCTTTTATCTCTTTCTTCATTGGCACTGAATCAGACGACATTTCTTCATCTGCTCCCGTATAACGAATTATATGATCATCGCACATACACAAACACAAACAAGTAGGGTGAGCTAACATGCAACAAATAATTTATAAAACATGCATAATTACTTTGATACACTCAACAAACATCATATAATAATTATGTCAAACACCTTCATACCATCATACAACAATCGCACCATAGATACTCATCCCATTATACCACAATTCCTAATAGACACTCATCCCACAATATCCCATAAACACTCATCCCACAATACTCAATAAACACTCATCCCACAATACCCAATAGTCACTCATTCCACAATACCCAATAGACACTCATTCTGATGATACGTTGACGAGCGGTCACGGGAGATTATGCACTTGTGATGACTTCTACTTCTTCTTACAAATACACTTCCAAAATACTCCATACCATCCACAAGGTTAGTCCTCAACACTATGTCCAAAACCGACACATAGACCAGGACCTCCTGCCCCTCTCACCACATAATTCATCCTTCTCTACTTAAGACTGGATGATTATTAGAGTATCAGGATAACCTCCAACAACAAGACCCTCAACATCAACATATACACAAATACCATATCATTACAGAATCTCTCAACGAGACTCATACATGCTCATATTCCTCAACTCATATTATACCATTACAAAATCTCCCCATAATACTCATATCATGTTCAGATGCATAAATTCAAATCCAATATAATAAAATACAATCATCACAAAAATCATACAAAATGAATATATCACAAAATAAGTTCACAATACTAAAATATCCCATAAATGGTCACTAGAGAAGAATCAAATGTTTGACGAATCAAACTCACCATAAACGCCAGTACATATGACTAGTCCCAACTTATTGGATTTAACCAGGACTGCTCTATGATAAGGGATGTACCAACTCCGGTTTTTAAGATTCCTCTATCCTACCATCACAATTATAACCTTAATATAAACGTTCTGGGGAACTAAGAAGTTGAATCTGGCATAGCCGGTTAGACATCTTCTTATCGTTCCAGAAAGATGAATCCATCACATATTTTATATCGATTGAGTATATTGCATAATAGTTTAACAATACTTAATCTGTTCAATAGGATTTAAGTTAAAAACCTATCGAGTAGACTTCTAGGAAAGAGAGGTGTGTCACTATGGACAACTTAAGTACCAAGTCTTTCCTTAGCCAAAGCGTTCCTCAACTAGTTTTTAACAAATTTCTTATATATAGATTCAAAACAACAACATATAATATTAACACAGAAATTAAATATAGATAGATATACACCAAGCACATATATTTTTCATTAACAGTATTCACACAGAATTTCAAGACATGAATAGTAATAAAACAATAGTAAATCATAATATAAAAGCTTAGAAAGTTTAGCTCCCCTTGTGCAGAATAACCTCCCCTCTCATGGCTATTTATAGTCCAAAAAAATTTACTATTTAACAATTTTTTAATATTATTTATTATTTTAATATATCAATATTTTAATCACCATTTTACATATCTGATCTCTCAATATAAAAGCTTAGAAAGTTTGAACCCATGTTCTTGAAATCACCAAATTTTTTACCATTTAAGCTACCAAAATTTCTTATTTAGCTTTCCATATTTTATTTTTACATACACTTATTAATTATATTTTTCATTCACAAAGAAATTTATTACTATTAATAAGTAAATAGTTTTCATGGTCTTATATATATAAATTATATTTAAGTATTTATATATTAAATCATCGTATAAAAAATTAAAACTAATTTAATTTGTGACATAAGATTACGGGACTATTTTATTTTTTAGACTAATTTAAAATATGCAAGACCAAACAGACAGTGATTTTAGTTCATCTCCTATTTGTAGAAGTCCTTTTTCAATTTTAATTGCCAATTTAATGAATATTAATTTGTGCAAGTTATTTTATTTGAATGAATTATTGTAATGAATTAATGTGCAAATTAATTCAATACTTTTTTATTTATTTTCACGAATATACATTTTTTAATTTTTAATTTTGAATAATATTACAATCAATTTCTTTCTTATAATGTTTATAGTAATTCTTACATCACATCGAGTAATCTAATAAAACATTAGTTATTTAATAGGTATTATCATGTTTTCTTTAAATTTGAATTATATAGAAAATTTAAAAATAACCCAAATAAAAAAAATTAAAAGCAATAAAGATATATATTAAAATATAAAAGATAATAATAATAAAAATTAAATCAATAACTAGTAAATTATAAATTATTTTTTTTATAAAATGACTATTAAGAAATTTATTAATTTTAATGTTGTTTTACATTAAACTAATTGTTTATTGTTTTAAATTTATTGATGATGCGCTGAATAATGGGAAAAGAGTGAAAGAAATGGACAGTGGATGGGTTGGTTCCACGTGGGGCCATCAGATGGATTCTGTTCAACATCACACACACTGCGTGATGGAGTGCTTAAACAAAGATGGAATGCTTAAACAAATATCAGAATCATTCACAAACCACTCTCTCGGTCAGCATCGCTAGCTCCTGTCTCCAAAACCATCTCATTTCATTTTCCTAGTTTCGCTACCTTGTATAAGACACAAGAACGGGCGTTGACTTTTTCCAATCTCTATCAATTCTTTGCCATTATCCTCCGCCACCACTCAGGTTAGTCACCCACTTTCCTTCTCTTCACTCCTTCTTTGACTTGAATCTACATTCTTTCAAATCTCTTTGTTAATTATATGAATCTCAGAATCTCCTCTTGATTTTCGAATCTAAATCCTGAATATCCTTCTCTGATCATTTTGCATAGCAATTTTGTTATATACCAGTTTGTCTTTAGTTCAAGAAAATAATTTCCGCAACTATAGGGTTATTTATTTATTTATTTACATTCTACTGAAGGATGAAAGGGCAAATTCGTGGTGGTGATTCTTTACCTTAAGGTTGTTCGATTTATGGAATATATTATTACATTTGTGCTTGAATCTTGATTGACGGTATAATGTTTGAATACTAAACTAGCTGAACGGGATCTAAGTCAAACTTGTTTAGCCACCTTTTGAATTTGGGGAAAGTAAGGTTTAGGAAAATTTTGATTTTCACTTCAAGATGTTTTTTGTACTATATATTCTCTCTGTTGAAGATGCTGCTAGCTTTGCATCCTGTAATCTTTATTTTTGAATTTTATCCCAACAAAGGTGAGATATCATTAGAATTTTGTAAAAGCTAACCTTCTGTTGTGTTTGAAATGATTAATGCTTAAAATACAAAGAAAAGACTATCTTCTTCACTTTACCATGTAATCACTTTATTTTTTTTATTCTCAACAATGTTTTGGGGTGTTTATTTATTTATTCTTGAAAGTGTGTATTATGATTGTTGTTTTTATTGTATTATTATTGTTATTGTTATAATGTAAGCTCTCATATTGACTTATGAAAATTATAAGCAATATTTGATGATGAATAATATCCATGAGAGTTTGGTCATTAATCAATTCTAATGATTTTGTGCTATTCACTATTCATGTAGCTAATCTCACCTAGACTCTTGTTGTACTCACATCCTAAATTTAAGAAACATGATATCCCCACGTAGTACTAGTATTTTATCTTATTTTTCCAAAAAATACCAGAGTGCATGCGTCGTAAGATTATACCTTTTGGAAAGATGTGATAAGGGTTATGTGTTAGTAATTTGTGCTCTTCTGAGTTTCTACTGTGAGAGACCTTGAGGTGGGCAGGAGCTAAAGTCTTGTCTATCAAGATTCTTTCGAACCTGCAGCAGATTACTTCTTTCTTTATGAGCGGTTTTTATGAGATATACAGTAAATGTTGATTAAGATTTAAGAGAAAGAAATGTACTAATCAGTAATGCTTTGTTTTGATAGTATGAAGGGGGTGACAATGGAAAGACACAGAGAATTAGAATGAAAAAAAATAAGATTTTGGATCACGGGGAGAGGGTCTAAATGAGTGGAAAATACAATGATGTAATTTGTTATTAATTTTATTAATAATTTTATATATCATTATTTATTATTTTTACTGTAATTTTTTTAATTATTCAGTATTATTATAATAGAAAAATGAAAAAAAAAACAAAAAAGATAACCTATAAATAAAAGAAGACCAAACAAGGGGCATCCACACTCATTCTCTTCTTTCCATCCTCAGCAACATTACGAGAAATTAAAAAATGACACGGTATTTAAGTTTGATTGATGGATGACTAGTACCTTAGAATGCTTATTTAATATTTCAAATCTTCTCCGACCAGTGATTACTTTAAATTACAATTTTCCTTGACTATAGGGAAATAAACAAATAGGAATTATATTATTACTAGGTCTGATTGTAAGAATGAAATCAGTGAAATTTAGAAAGTAAAGTAACTCTAATTTATTTGTAGAAGTGAAAATAGGAATAGTTAACTAGAATACCGAAGTCCCACCCATAGTAGATCTAATTTTTCTCAATTGTAAATGTTAAATTCCATTTTTTTAGGGTATTTGGATGGTCCAATTTGATAGGATGTAGCTTTCTGATAGAAAGTAAACAGAGGGAAACAGATAGTGAAATGTTAAACCTAAAAAATATTGATTCCCGACCATATCATGTTGAATTGATTCTAAACCTATATGAACCAATGTTGTCTGTAATTCAGTTAATCCATCTATATATTTCATGAAATCTACTATCTTCGTGCTCACCAGCATTACTTTAGTAGTTTTATTTTGTCATTAATAGGTAATTCTTTGCTACTTTGGTAATACTTTGATAATTTTATTTTGCGATGAAGCTTTGCCTTTGTTACTGTTTTGCTCTGTCATTCTTCCTAGCTCATGTTGAACTAAGAAAATTAGTAATTAATTTAGTTGGTTGCATCATGCACTATCACACGAGTATACGGGGTGAATCAAGTGAAAACACTTTTTGTTAACAAATAAGAAGTATAAATCTAGGTGATACAACCATAGACAAGATTAAAAGTTATAATCTAATGGTCTATTTTGTAGCTCAAATTGCTTTGGGTCCCCTCTCCCTCCCATTTGCTAAAATGTAGTTTTGCTCCCAAATTTTATATTTCAGTTATTTGTGTTTTATATTAATTTATTTATTTTACTCTAGCCATGTGAAGTCCTGTAACTTTAAATGATTTTCCTGCATCTGTGTCTTATCATATCTGTGTACCATTTTATATGTATTTGTCTCTAACGGCGTATATATAACTTGCTTTCTAGGTTTTGTATGACGAGAAATTTGTATTATTTAAATTTACAAAAGACCTCAAACCTATAAATGGATGGTGACATTTTAACAAATAAACCAAGGTAAAAAAAAATATCTCCCATGGATTTCACTTTGGCCCCCTTAAAGTTTTGCTATCATAATTCATTGAATGATACACAATTTGTCATCTTCATAGCTTGTAATTATACAAAAATAACAGGTCATCTGCATGATGAGTTATTGGACAAAAATGTAGCTTTGTTTCTAGCTCTTTGGTATGCTGTAATTATTTGGAAGATGGGTTATTACTTAGATAATTGGAATTTCCTTTTGCAGTATTCTAACTTGACATTAAGTGAGAATCTACCAGAGCAATATGAGTGAGGATCCAAAGAAAGCGGCCACTACTGGCCAGGACAAGATGTTAACATCACCAGAACAGCAGGCATTGGTATGTCCAGTAATTTTTTTCTTGACATGTAAATATTGAGGTGCAAACATTTGAGCAAAGAAGCATTGTATCTCATAGTAATTTACTTCTTTCTAGATCAATGAGATGAGAAGGTTAATTGGGCCACAGTCTGGTAAGGCATCTATTTTTTGTTCTGATGCCTGCATCTCAAGGTATTTAAGGGCACGGAATTGGAATGTCAAGAAGGCAGCTAAAATGTTGAAAGTGACCCTGAAATGGAGAGAAGAATACAAACCAGAAGAAATCCGCTGGGTGAGTGGCTGCCTTTCTTCATTTTTGCTTGTCTGACTTTTTAGACGTAATGCATAGCAGTGAAGTGCCGTGTCCTTGGTATTGCTATTTTGTATAAAAATATCTTTCTATATAGCTATGTTAACCTGAGTACTTTTGTGTTGCATCTATTCTCTTGTTTACCTTTGATAAACATTATTAAAGGTTCTTAACTGGATCCATTTGCCATGTGTGGCTATATTTGATTCCGATAAATATCTTACCAGAACTATTGTCAACTGAATACCATATTTGTATTGATGAGTTCTTTTAACATTTATTACCGACTCACCCAGAATTTTATTGGTCTGAGCATTTATGTCAAACCATCACTCTTTCTGTAATTACCTTTTGATGAAAGTTGTTTGATGTATATATTTTATTGATGCAGGAAGATGTTGCTCATGAAGCAGAGACAGGAAAAATCTATAGATCAAACTATATTGACAAGCATGGGAGAACTGTCCTAGTAATGAGGCCTGGTCGACAGGTATCTTCTGAAACTCGCTTCTAACCTCTAGCATGACATGTTTATCTAAGTCGGATGTCAAAATAAGTGTAAATGGAAGAATGCGAATGATTCAAACATATTTTGTCCACCTAACACCTCAGGTTTTATTCTGCCGTATTCCTAATCAATGTGGAACATCTTAACATTCCGCCCCACACATGCCTAAAGAGTTGACATATAAATCATGAAGTATGCAAGACAACATATTTTGGTGATCCATGTTGAAGACTAGACAGAATTTGAAACTTAGGATTGGACATATTCAGTTGGCTCGACTTATAGACTACACAGGCTTTAATACCATACTTGAAATTGATTGAACCTGACTTATATTATCCAACAGAAACACTCTTATTCTCCCTGCTTGAAGACAGATCAAATTTAATAGATTGTGCCTGTATAACTGATTAAAGTGTTATCGTTTTTGTAAAGGAATGTTATCCATGCTTCAATTTATTTTCGTTCTTTTTTGGGTGCAGAACTCAAAGTCAACTAAAGGACAAATTAAATATTTGGTATACTGCATGGAGAATGCTATTTTTAATCTTCCACCAGAACAAGAACAAATGGTCTGGTTGATTGACTTCCAGGGTTTCAATATGTCACATATATCAATAAAGGTGACGCGTGAAACTGCACATGTATTACAAGAACATTATCCTGAACGCCTGGGTCTGGCAATACTTTACAATGCACCCAAGTTCTTTGAACCATTTTTCACGGTAATTAAGTGAAAGTTTTAACTATCACACTTCATGCCTCCATATCTCTTTAGTCCGGTATATCTATTTTTATTTTTCTAGTATTGAATGTAACCACAAATTGATAATGTGATGCAACTACTTTAGATTCTAGACTAAAATAAGTCCAAAAATGATATTTTTTTGTTTAGAAACTCTGTTTCAGGTGTAATTTTAGCCACTCAAGATGAGATGAAAATTGGAGTCCGCTAGGTCTAGAACTGAAGCACTGGATCTAAGCTCTTATTTGTGTTTGTCATGGACGGAATACAAGTTTTGATCTTTATTCATTTGATTTTTAACATTTTCCGAAACCTGTTAATTAGTTTGCTTATTTATAGCTATGAATAATTTTCGTCATTAATATCGACATTGTCTGATTACACTATATTTTTCTGCAGATGGTAAAGCCGATACTAGAGACTAAGACTTATAATAAAGTCAAGTTCGCATACTCGGATGATCAAAACACCAAGAAGATTATGGAGGATTTGTTTGACTTTGACCAACTTGAATCTGCATTTGGTGGGAATGATGATACAGGATTTGACATAAATAAATATGCTGATAGAATGAAAGAGGATGACAAGAAGATTCCTGCTTTTTGGACTAGGGAAAACACTCCGTCATCAGTTCCAACTCATGTTCCTTCTTTAGATTCTACTAGGTTAGACTCAAATACTGATGATTGTTCGGACAATGAGAAACTAGACTCTTTCCCTGACCTCGTGGTGGACACTGGTATTATTAACCCGAACCAGAAAAGCTTGGTTAATGAAGGAGAAAGAAAAGCCAGTGCAGATTAGAATGAGAAATTAGATTCCTTTGAAATAGCATACAGACACCGGGTTATCAAGATGCCGTGTCATTATTACTTTGAAGTTAGAATCAAGTGACCTTTTGTTAACTTGATGTTGCATTTAAGGTGGTCACATGTTTTTTCTTTGGGAATTCCAGCTTTTTTCTTATAAAACATGAGTGGAATGATTGCTTGTTCATTCAGTAGATTTTTGCTGCTGCTGCTGCTGCTGTGGTAAACAATTTTTTGCCATCCCTCGTCGATGGACAAATTATTTTCAGCAAGCAGGTTCATATTACCATTCGCTCAATATCATGCTAGGGTAGTAAGGTTTTCATGTGGATTTATTTCTTTTAAAAGAAATAATATGTGCAAAGTAAAAAAGATAAGCGTTCATTCAGCATTGATTTAAAATTTAGTTTAGATTACAAGGTATTTTAATTCTAACAGTAGTATCAGATTATTTCTGCTTAACCAAGTTGTAGTATTTAAAATTAGTTAACTTTTTTATTTATACATTTTCTCTATCTGAACCAAGCTTTAGTATCTGAGTGTACGTGTGACCTTTTCATGTCTATCCAGACTACCTTGACCAAGAGTGAGTGAGCGTAAGAAATTTATAGATACTAGATATGTTGTTGGGAAATGACTTGGAATTGTCCTGATGAACTCTTTTGGTTCAAATGATGAATCCTCTTATATCACAATACAATAAAGTGCTGATAAGAAGAAAGCGTTTTTCTCTTCTAGTAATTTTTTCTCTCTTTCACTTTCAAATTTATCAATACAGAAGTTTGGTTGTCAAAAAGTAACAAATCCCTTTATACAAGGAAAACATTTCAAGGCTAATAATAGTTGTTACAAAACTTGGTTCCGTCATTCCATATGCTAGGAATATGTGTTACAAATGCTTTTTATGGGAATAAGTGCTCTAAAGAGTTATGGGTCAAAGAGTGGAGTATAAGACGTTATGTTCCAAGCAAAAATATGACAACATATTTACAATAAGTCATTATATATCAAGTGCTAGTAAGTATTTTTTTTTGTTGAATATAGTAAAAAACTATGTATGAGATTAATCTTCCTTATGTTGAATACATACATAGAATACTCTATTTATAATAGAAAAAGAAATATAGGCAAAACTCAAAATACAAATAAAGTAATATATCTAACACTTTCTCTCAAGTTGGTGCATACAAATCGTATGTACAAAACTTTTTACAAATATAATCAATTCTCAAATCTCGTAAAAACTTCATGAAAATATCTACTAAGTGATTGAATTAACAAACTCAGTCTTGATGTCTCCAGATACAATCTTCTCTCGAATGAAATAATAGTCAATCTCAATGTGTTTGGTCCTCTTATGAAAGACAAGATTAGAACTGATATTAAGAGTGACATCTCCAAATTGTAACTCTCAAAACAATTGCGTAAGCCAAATAAGCTTACAAGTGGCTACACTACAACAATTTGGCTTATTACTGGAGGAATATTATCGAAGGCCTATGGATTGTTCGTAAAAATGTGTTCTTGATGACCAAATGAGCATTACAAACGGCCATGGTGAAATATAATTATCGAAGGCCAAAAGTGCATTATCGAGGGGTTTATAGCCTTCGATAAGAGGCTCGACCCCTTAAACTAAGTAATTGGGGGTATTGTAGGAGGTCGTCCCCAATTTCATTAAAGACAAAACTCTACCCTACCTATCTCGACTTCGCGTCGTGCTCCCCATTTTCTCCCTTTCCGTCCTGTTTCGCTCCTTCTCATCCCATTGTGCTTCCCATTCTCTCCCTCTCACTTTTGTTTCACGCTTCTCTCCCTTTCCCAGTCCCTTTTGTCCGGTGGCATTTTGTGGCTAGGGTTCTTCAATGCGTTGTTGCGACTAGGGTGGTGGTTTGTGACTGTGGGCGTGAGGTTGTTGCAACGATAGGGGTGTTGATTTGTGGTCGTTGACGACAGGAGGTCATTGCAGTGAAGTCGAAGACGACATGTTGTGTTGAGATTTTGCGGTGTATAGAGGCTTCCATCGAATTGGTGTTCTGGAGTGCGAGGTAAGTTCTCTATTTTAGAACGCAACCTCAATTAATGGATTGGCCTATTCTTTCCTACTTGTGTGCAATGTGTCAATCGAATTGGGGGTTGCCCTGTTTGCATTTTGGAGTTGCTTGTTTGCATTGTGTGATGTGGTTTTAATGATAATAATTAATATGTCAATGAATGTATGTGTAATGAGTGTTATTGTATCCATTTGGTTTCTATCCATGTTATGGATGAATCTGGAAAATGAAAGGCTTGTTAGGTGCTGTGTTTGAAGGGAAATAATTATATTCATGTGTAGAAGAGCTTGATTTCTTTCGTGGTCTCTTGGTAGCTTTTTCTGCCTTTTGTTTACTATTGTCAACCTCTTTGGTGTCCAAATCATTACCCACTTCATGACCAAATATATTCAAACCTTTAGAGTGGTTGGAACAATCAACATCCTCTTTCTTTTTAATGGGATTGGAATAAGCTAAAGCATTATCTTCTTCAACACATGCAATACCATAGCTCATTCCTGAGTTAGGAGATTTATTCGCATCAGGATTTCCCTGTTGTAGCAAAGTCATCTGCTATGAATGTGGACAAAGAAATAGTTTCTACTCCGAGATCTTGTACAAAATCTACCAAAGATGCAAGTTCAGAGGAGACTCCCAAGGCAAATGTGAAAAGGAAACTTACTTCAGGAAAAGAAAATGAGTATGATACAAAGAAATATGGTGAAAATCTTGTTGGTTTATGGGTCACAGTTTGGTGGCCTAAGGATCGTGAGTTTTACAAGGGTATTATTGATTGTATACTTGGTTGAAACTACACGTGCCTTATTACTTGGTGCTAGTATACTTGCTCATTATTGGGGTGATGTCATTCTTACACCTTGTTTTCTTATGAATAGAATGATTTCTTCTTCCCTTGATAATGAAATTCTTTATTCCATTCTATTTTCCGAATTAACTTTTATTTCATGTTACTCCTTGTGTTTTTTTGAGTGTATTTTGTACATGACTTGTCTCTAGGTTTTGATAGATCATAGGCTAGAGCCACCTCCCATATTACATGGTGAGTCCTTTTCATCAAGTTTCACTTGATGCTTTGGACACTTGTTGCAACCTAGGATTAATGATGTTTGTCTTCTAAAATAGAATTTGACAACTGACTAGCTTTACTTGGCCAACTTTCTGGGCTTCATCATTGTTAACCCTTTGCAAGTGTCCCGAATCGTATCAAGTAATAATAAAATGGTAAGACCAAGTATCGTTTCCCAAAGGACTCACAGCCTAAACAATTATGTGATTTGTTGATTATCTTAGAGTTGTAATCGAAAATATTCTTGTTGAACTATGAAAAATAAACATGAATGCAAAGTTTTGATCAATGGACTTGAAAGATGCAAAAATGGTTGATGTATAATATGAATGATTATGTTGTTTGGGTTTCTGATTTATCTTATCTACTCTTATGTATTCAAGAATTCATCTTTCTTCATTAATGTTAATGCCACTTTCTAATTTACCTTAAACTCGATGTCTCAGTGAAGAAAGCCTACTCCTAATCACTAATTTACAATGTCTTGTCTCCTTAGCAACTACTCATGCATTACATTCGCACAGAAGCTTAAAGGCAACCAATCATCCTATCCCTATGTCTAGGCAATATTGCTCTTGGGAGAATTTCTTCAGTTCTAGATTTACTTATATGTGTCCATACAAATAACATCAATGATCATGTAATTGAATGAGTTAAACAAAGCATGCATAAAGTATAGAAGAAAAACCCTAACAATTAATGAAAGAAAGCATATAGATTAAAGAACCAATTAAATACATGAGAGTTTCAAAGGATTACATCGGTTCCACAACAACAATGAAGGTTTAGTTCACCATAGATATGGTGAAACTAGATGAAAAAGAATGAAAGAATGAAAGATAGAACCCTAGAAGTTGAAGAATAGAGCTTGAGCATCCAAAATCCTCCTCCAAGGGGGGGAAGAAAGTGTGATTTCGCCTTTTTCTGTCCAAAGATATTAACCCTAATTCGGCTAAAACCTTATATAGATTCCTAAAAACTACAGAAAATAGGCCCAAGCCCAAACTAAATGGCACTCAGCGATAATTAGCACTCAACGGTAAGTGCGGTTCTTCTATTTTGATGCTCGGCTGCAGTTTTGCCCCCCCAGCGGTGACTGCGAGACTTCAGAGTACCGCTCAGCGGTAAAAGTGGCGTTGAGCGGTAACTATGGCTCTTCTTTTTTACACTTTTCCTTCCTTTTCTGAGTCCAACTCCTGGCTACTTCATTTCTTTCATTCAATTCATCTTAAAACTTGCCAAAACAAGGAAAACCAAGCATAAAACCTATCCAACTCTCTTATTTCCACAACACAAGCAAAAACATGATTTCAAGCTAATTTCTAAGTCATAAAGGTTGTCTTTAAGGTCAAAACTAAGTATGAAAATAACAGTTTTTCAACTGTTATCACAACCCCAAACTTAGAACTTTGCTTGTCCTCAAGCAAACAAGATGTAACTCAGTCTTCCACCAATCCATACAATGGTTCNATCCTATCCCTATGTCTAGGCAATATTGCTCTTGGGAGAATTTCTTCAGTTCTAGATTTACTTATATGTGTCCATACAAATAACATCAATGATCATGTAATTGAATGAGTTAAACAAAGCATGCATAAAGTATAGAAGAAAAACCCTAACAATTAATGAAAGAAAGCATATAGATTAAAGAACCAATTAAATACATGAGAGTTTCAAAGGATTACATCGGTTCCACAACAACAATGAAGGTTTAGTTCACCATAGATATGGTGAAACTAGATGAAAAAGAATGAAAGAATGAAAGATAGAACCCTAGAAGTTGAAGAATAGAGCTTGAGCATCCAAAATCCTCCTCCAAGGGGGGGAAGAAAGTGTGATTTCGCCTTTTTCTGTCCAAAGATATTAACCCTAATTCGGCTAAAACCTTATATAGATTCCTAAAAACTACAGAAAATAGGCCCAAGCCCAAACTAAATGGCACTCAGCGATAATTAGCACTCAACGGTAAGTGCGGTTCTTCTATTTTGATGCTCGGCTGCAGTTTTGCCCCCCCAGCGGTGACTGCGAGACTTCAGAGTACCGCTCAGCGGTAAAAGTGGCGTTGAG